GGGGTGGGGAGCCGGCGGGGAGGTGGGGCTGGGGGCTGCCGTTCTGCAGGGGCTTTACCTTGTTGGGGGCTGAGGGTGACTTCCCTTTTAAAAGGGGGAGGCTACGTCAGGCTTGCCAGGCTGTAGCGTTCATTTCTCATCGCATACCTGCAAACAGTTGAAATCTCGGGTGAGAGGAAAACTTTCTGGCTACTCTCAAATGCTTTAAGTTTCCTAAGTCTTTTAGCTGACGTATATGTTTCTTCCAAAAAATGCTGATCTTCACTGTAGAAATAGAGTTGTTTCTATGTGAAATTCAGAACGTAAGTAGGATGTCAGCTATTAAAGGAGACAGAGTCCTCTACGCCTCCCCGTTTACAAGTGGATGGGCTTTTGCACAGAACAGTTAGAGTGATGTTGGCCTAAGCTGAGCCAGCAGATTTACGGTCTTAAGAGCTGCTAAGAGCACAGATCTTACCTCTGCGCAGATAAACATAAATCAAACAAGTTAGGTATTTATTATGTAAGAGCTTCAAGCTTTCAGAAGAAAGCTCTCCTAGGCCTGTATTACTTAGTTTAATGCGTATACTTCATCTGACAGAGTATGCCAGAGACCATCTGTGACTAACGTTTTCAAGATAGTTCCACTTACTGAGGTTATGGGAGAGAAGGAGCCATGTCAGAAGAAGCCGTTACTGAGACACGCTTTTCTTTGAAGACAGCTGCTTTACGAGTATTTCATCTTCCCCTTTCTTGGTATTATTCTCTTATCCAGGTAATATATACATTATCTGAATGTTTTAATTTGCCGTGTAGTTTTAGAAGTTTAATTGCAATATTATATTCACTGTCCTGTGCTTAATATGAATTAAACTTGTAAGGAATATCATGATTTTTAAATTATTTGAAACACTAAACTAAAATAAAAGTGCTTTTTGTCTCTTTCTACTGATAAACCCTTAGGGCATTACCATACATCACACTGCAGAGTCTACTTTCTCTGCAATGCTATATGTCTTAGTTGCTGGATAATAATTGCAAAAGAATGATTCTGATCAAATATCACAATCCTCCAGTAGCGTTTTTTGTAGCACATGCCAGATACTTAAATACTAAACATGTCTGTCATTAAATCTTGAATAATGTTATGGGTGTGGTCTGAAATATTTTTCTAGATTGCCGGTACCACGTATAAAATTAACCTGAATGATAATTCGTTAGTGCAAGTCCAAAAAAGAAAGTGTTCTAGTTATTGAGTCACTTATGTTTCGTTAATTAAGTGCTGTGTGACTAAAACAAGGTAGTGATTCTTTTAAAAAAAAAAAAAAAAAAGGAATTTAAACCAAGAATCTGAAGATCTTCTTCAAACAAAATGTTAAAGCTTTAATAATCATAATATTTGCTTTTATAGATAGCCCTGGAGTGATTTATTTTGACTTATTTTGCTGCTATTATAGGCTAGTTTTCGTTATATATCTGAGAGAAGAATACGTTATGATCTTAGTTTTCAGGCTGGTAAAAGCTGGAAGGATGGTAAAGCTGACACTCCCTGCCTGCAGGGAATTGTAAGACATAAGAGTGGTCCCTAGAGCAGCTTCATGTCAAAGATAGGGAGGAGGAACTGTAATTGTGTTGTAAATGTGTCTGAAGAGTGAGCTGTATTCTAATGCCACAATATGCAGCAGGATAAAGAGGGTTCCTGGATGGTCCAGAGTTTTTTTTTCTAATCTGTACATGCAGAATCACTGACAAGGATGACTAAAAGAAAAATTTTATTTATGGTTAGGAAAGTCAATGATAATTTTAAACACTAGATATTAGCAGGATTTAGTGAAACTTTGCATTTAAAACCCACACCTTTAACAAAACTGTATTTTATTTTTATTGAATTAGATGTATAAGCAGAAGCTATGTCATTTTCCATATTTTCTTGTAAATGCTTTTCTCTATTTTACTACATAAAACAATTCAAATGAGATATTCTCCTTGTCTTAGCTGCATATGACTGTTTTAATGTTTTTCCTTTTTTGGAATAATTTAAAATTCTCATGGCAAAATCACTTATTTCTTTTTTATATTGCCACATTGTCATGTACCTGTTAAATATTACATGCAACCCTAATATTACTTTTTCTTTCTTAAGAGGTTTTCATTTCTCTGTTAATTTATAACCACACTCAAAGACACAGATAAATTAATGTAAGTATAAAAATATCTAGTTAACAGGGTTTTTTAACCTTGAAACTCCCAGAATTAATGATAGATCTGAAGTTTCAACTTAAGTTATTTTGTGTTATTCTTTTTTGTCTTTTTTTTTCTTTTTTAGCACATTTTTGCTATATTTCAGGGATTTTCTTTTCCTTTCAGAGTACAGTGCTAGATCTTCAGACTCAGTCAAGAGGCTTTGTACAGCTAAGGGTAGGGTTCTAAATTCAAGAGTTTTAACTTGTTAGCCAATTCAATGCAGAGCAAAGCTTTCAGTGCCTCTTTAAATTGCGTGAGTCTATAGATAGTATTAACCAATTGCACAGCAACCAGAGACTGCCAGAGTGCAGTGGCACACTCTAGCCGTGTTCCTTCTTGCACTGGGAAATGTGGTAGATAGCCCCAAGGATGGCAGATCTGTTTTTCCTCCCAGCAGCGCGTTTCTCCAGCCACATGTATTTCACAAAGATTTTGTAGATGTGGACTATATTCTCCAGCTAAGCAGTTCTTTTATTTTTTAATTCCATGTATGTCTTGTTACTTTGAACTATCTAAGCTTTGTTAACGTTTTGAGTTCCGTTTTCTTGTATCTGTGGTTCTTTCTCTTATTTGCCAAATTTAAACATTTGTAAGTCTATGATTAATCTGTGTTCAGACCTGAAATACAAAAATAAAACACTTATTTTATTTAGAAAAATACGTTTAAACGTGTTCTTCCCAAGTTGAAACAGAATGCAAATGATTGTCTTTGGATCCTCCCTTCACTTTTTACAGTACAAGAAAATAGTCTAGTTGCGAAGTCTGAGCTTAGTATTTTTTTTCTTAGTATTTTTTTTTCCCGTTAGAGAACTAATTGAGGCCCTGCATTGTCATGGCATTAAAAAGAAAGGAAAAAAGTATGTCTGAAAATTGTTTACTTAGTTCCCCATAGAACTATACTTATTTTTGTATTTGGAATATATGTTATAGTTGTTGGTGCTGCAGTGTGATTCTCAGAGCAGCCGCTCGTTCTGTCCCTCACCAACCCCACTGTAAACTGTGAGAGAGCTTTGTCTCACCTACTGGCTGTCACAACATTTAAGAAGCAATTAGAGTTTGTCCTTGTTCAGGGTTGGTGATTTCTCAGGTTGTGTGAGAGCAGCATCTCTTACCTTCTTCAAACAATGTGTAGCCTAGGTTGAACACACCACAGCAAGGGTAAGAGGCAAGGTGAGACTTAAGAGCCTAAATTTACAATGAACTCAACGTTTCTATGTTTTCAGATAAAGCTTTCCCCTGGGTTAAAGAAGCTGTTTGCAGTAACAGCAGTAAGTGCAGTATCTGTTATTTTTCTCGCCCATCATTTTAAAAGAAGACGTGGAAAGAAAAACAGGAAAGCATCACCGTGGGAACCAGGTCATATAGTATTAGAATGTACCAAAGCAGCTACATCAGAAAAAGGTACATGAAGGAACCCCAAAGTCTGTTGTTGTTTGCTTCTTGGAGGGGAAGAAAAGAGATGGGGCGGGTGAATGGGTGTTGCATAACAGTACGTAGTAGTGGTACAAACTATTTTCCTTCTAATGCTGCATACATTTAAATTGTTATAATGGAAACAAAATTAAGAACAAAATTACAGTATTTTTATAAGTTAGCTGGTGTTCTTCTCAAAGTTAAGGTTTTAATCGTTATTTGGACTAATTCTTTTTTTAATCAAACCCCAAAACTATTGGGTTTACAGCTCTTCTGGAGGTATCTATATACTGAGGAAAGAGGATTGATGTTTTTATAGGATGGGTAAATAATTATGCTTAAATGCATATTTCTTGTTGTAGATATTCTGTCTATTCGAACTCATAGTTCTAATGTCGAAGTGTAAATAAAGTAATTGTTGTTTACTTCTAAAATGGATTTTATTGAAAAGTTTAGACATAATTCTTGATAATTCTTGGTAACACAAAATACAATGTTTTCAGTTTGCAGAACCTTTAAAATGAGTGTATCTGTTAGGTTCTAGTTGTTCCAGTAGCCGGCAAAACTTGACTCTTTCTCTGAGCTCTGCTAAAGAAAAAGGATCTCAGTCTTGTATCTATGCAAATGGAGGACTTTTCAGTAAATACTCCGGTTCAGTTCAGAGTCTGGCCTCGGTAAGTAAGGGTGTTTTAAGGCTCTTTGATGTCTGTTAACCTGCACTGGATATGTGCCTAATGGTTTTACCGAGCTGAAACAACTTTCCTGAACGAGCTGCAGAACCTCAGAAGGCTAGGGATGCTGACTGCACAGAAAATGGCTCGTAAATGAAGAAGGCGTAGTATAAATAGTTTCTTCGTTGGTGATTTTAAGCAACTATAAAGTAAATGAGACTTCACTTGAACTTCTGTGTTTACTCCCTCTGAGCCTTCCTGTCTTGTCTCTTACGACTTCACAGGAGTGCAGTTCCATGAGATAGAATGAGCCAAACCTGTACAATTCGGCTCTGCTGAAAGCAAGAGATTCCCCCTGTATCCTGTTCTTGACTATGCACCCCTGACCCGTATACTGCTCCGGTACATTTTAGACCTCTCAGTGAGTCAACTCACTGACTTGGCAGAAAAATTACCTAGGATAAATCTCTGCCAGGTTAGTGAGTTGAACTGAATTTCTGAACACCAGAATTAGCGCAAGGGTGTGGCAGCAAAACCAAAGTGAAGAGTGGGGAGGGGCAGTGAAATCTCCCTCAGCCAGATCAGCTGCTCCTAGGCTTGGAGCTGGGAACAATATAACTTGGAGTTGCTCAGAAACTTCTGGAGTTGTATGACTTCTTTGCATGAGTGCAGTCAAAAGAATAGCTCAACAGACTTCCAGAGATGAGAGAGAAGAAAAGAGGTAAGGGCCATTGATCCTCTAGTGAGAGTACTGAAATGGGTGCAAATTCCTTCTGCTCCACTGCTACTATTTACAGGACAAGAAGTCACAGGCAGCATAGCTTTTCTAATGTTGTGCCTTAGGAAGTAGGTTGATCTAGGCATTCATGATTATGTTTACACGGTAGCTTCTCACCTATAAGCTGAAGTCTTTTCTGTCAGGTTGAGAGAATGAAGCTGGTCATATGTCTTTAGCAGTTTTATAGCAGCCTGTGTATCTTTATACGTTATCTGTCTGTATCTGCTTCCCTCCTTTTAGGAAAGGCTCGTGCAGATCTTGTAACAGATCCTGTTTATGTCAGCCTAGAGGACAAGTTTTATTTTTGAGATACCTTTTTTCCTATATTTTTGTAATAATCTGTAGTCCAATTTAACTTGAAAAACAATATTACAAATCAATGATTATTTCCTTATTCTAGAAGGAGGGCAATACTGACTTGCATAACGTTGTTATTAATGCTAGACTGTGGTTTGCTAAAGAAAACAATTCATATTATGCTTGATCTGAAAATAACGGTACTTTTTCCTAAAGTACTTCAAAAAGTCAGACTATGTATATAACCTGGACTGTAATGTACTCTGGCAGGAAAATATTTTTAAGAATACTCAGTATGACAATACTTTTTTTTTTTTTTTTTTCCTCTCCCCCCCCACCCTCCAGGTCCAAAGTGCCACCTCTTGTCACAGTTGTGCTTGTGCCAATTCCAATTCCTGGGATAAAGCAGATGAAGATGATATTAAGCTTGTCAATATTCCGGTGACTACACCTGAGAATTTATATTTGATGGGTAGGTTATAATAAGAAAATTCAGAATCTAGCAGCAATTAGGGAAAATAATTGATTGTTTTCATAGCGAAGTGACACTTGCACAATATTTTTGTGGTGTTACAATGTCATGCAAGCCTATTCTGTCTCCTGTACTGTGAGGACAGTCGTTTTTGGCAAAATATCTTCTGTAGGCACGTGTTATGAGAACGTTTCCGTACAATAACTAAAATCCTACTTCATCTGGAGTTTCTGAAAAACAGTTTTTGATTCCTGTATTTTAGTATTAGGCTATAGAATTGATTAAAAGAATTAATTTTAAAAAAGGGGGAAAACCCCACTAAATTCTGTTACTTTAATCATATTATGAACTTTCTTACCTTATTAAAAACCAATTTATTTTTGACTGGGAATTATTGTTTAAAAAATGTACATCTCTGCTATAATCATTCTTGTTATCCACATAGTTTCCTGTGACTCTAAAATGTGAAGACATGTGGAGGCTGTGTATTTGATGGAATGGATCTCCCCTAGGTATGGAGCTTTTCGAGGAAGCACTGCGTCGATGGGAGCAGGCACTAACTTTCCGTAACAGGCAAGCAGAAGATGAAGCAAGTTGTAGTTCCATCAAGCTAGGAGCAGGAGATGCAATTGCAGAAGAAAGTGTAGAAGTAAGTATATTCAAGCTGTAATATACTGCTGCTGCTTGACAGTTCATTGGACTTTGTTACCTAGGTATTTTCAGCTTCTAATGCGGTTAATGAAACCGAGTGCAAATTCAGGCTTTCCATGCCTGCTGTATTTAAAGGATCAAAAAGATTTAAAGGACATTCTATTTAATTTTTTTTGATAAGCCTTACCTTTTTTTTTTTTTTTTGGCATTTGCTGCTACATCAGTTTTACTTCTGGATGGTATTATCAAGCCACCAAGCATTTCTTTAACAATTTCTCTGAGCCAGATCCCTTGGGTTGTCCCTTTCTTGTAGTGCTATGTAAAAATCCTCCTAGAGAGTCTCCTTAGTGCGGATACTGGTCCTGAGAAAGATAATCAATTTATAAATACACATGAAGTAAAGTGATTGAACTTCATTTTGTATTCCTTTATTCTCATGAACTAAATGCTAAAATAATTTAAAATAAACTTACACCACCATGGTCTTCATTATTTCTAGTGCAGTAAACATCATGGATAATTTTAAAATATTTTTAAACTTAAATTTTAATGTTATTACACACACTCACACACACTTTATTTAGTGTATGTAGAAAGATTGTAAAATTTGGATGTTGAATTATCCATTAGACAATGTCCTCATACTGTTGGTGGGGAAATTAGTGGAGTGCAGTGAACTCTTTGAAGGCTTAATATTCTTTGATTTTTAAAAAGAAGCCTTATAGACTGTAAACAAATAGAAAATCTTCTCTTCTAATTTATTTCTTCCTGTAGGATATCATTAGTGCTGAATTCATTCATAAGCTTGAATCCTTGCTTCAAAGAGCTTATCGTCTTCAGGAGGAGTTTGAGGCCACCCTTGGGGCCTCTGATCCTGCTTCCCTAGCTAATGATATTGGTGAGTACTCCTACTTTACATTCCTATGGCTTGTAATAATGTCCCTTGTGGTGGGAAGTCACTGAATATTCAGTGAGCAGTGAGATCCAATGCAAAGGATACTCTTTACATTGTTAGATAACAATTAGCCAATGATAAGAATGAGCTGAGAGGAAACTTTTTTCCTTGTGAATTTTCAATATACTTCAACAATTTTCAGAATACTCCTCAAATTTCTAGAGTTCATGTTGGCTCAGATATTTAAATACCTGTGCAGTAAGAATATATGACCTCTTTTTATAGCATGGGGGTGCTAGAGCATTTCAAAAGAAGTTTCATTTGTCTTTTGAACTTAAGGTTGTGTATGTGTGTATTTTTTTCCCCCTACCATAGTTTCAAAAAATTTAACAAGAAAACAAAGCCAAACCAGAAAGACTTAGCCTGAAGCAGATATCAGTTATGGAAAATCTCACTCTGATGGCTGAAATTTGTTCAAGTTATGAGTAACTAAAACCAGGCTGTTTTAATAGTAAATACAGAAACAGTAGTTGCTGCTTAGAATGCTGATTAAAAGCTTTAGGTGCTGATTAAATAAAGATGATTTGATTACTTAAAGAATTGGTTTTAAGGTGTCCTTAAAGACTGATACTGTTAAGTTCTTTCATAATTCAAGATCAAACATCTGATTTCAAATAACCATCATAGACTTAAAAGGCAGTACCTGTTCTGGGATTAGTTTTTGGTCTGTACCCTTGATCGTTAGGCTTCAGCTTGAATGGCACCAGGTGGCGGTACTTCTCATCTGTTAACCCTCCTGGTATCCTTCAACCACTAAATAAAGCTCTGAGTAAGGTGGGAGTTAAATTTCGGTCAGAACTGGCTTTCTGACATATTTGTATACACCTGTTAATGTAACTCATAAAACAGAAGAGAGTTTGGATGTTGTGTTTTGATGTCAAAGACCATAGACCCCTACTAAAGTTGCAGCGTACATCCATTATTAAATTAGAAGTTTATCTATAGTTTTTGTCTTCAGGCAAAATTAAGGGAATTGTATTGTAAGGACTCGGTGCGATGTTCAATGTATTTAGTCATTATTTTGCTTCCAGTTACCCTGGAAGTGTTTTACATTGATGTTTTTTAGATGTGATAATATGATGCTTGTTTCCCAAGAATGTTCTGAGGAACTGAATTTCTTTCAAACGTTCTTTGCAGAAATCATTCTGTGGTCTCTTGACTAGAGATTGTCAGTTACTTTATTATCTGTGCTAGTCCAGATGAGTGGGGAAAGCAAATAATGAAGCATTTCAGTTAGTGCTTGACTGTTTGAGATTCAGGGCTTTTTTGGTCATCTTGTATTCATAGTTTGAACAGCAAGTAGTGTATTAGAGAATACTTCACTCTTTTAGAATGTTGTTTGAGAACAGAAGCGGAAAGAATACTGTCTCAGAAATGCTGTGGCACTTGTGAGATTTTAATGCAGAGGATATTTTTGTTCAGTGTTTTCCCTTTATGTAAAACAATCTATTTACTCACAATTTATTTGAAAAATCCTTTCCTGTAGGATATGACTACTCAATGCAGTGTATGAATATTTGAAATAGGATGTTTGAGATCCAGACCTTTGTGGGGAGAGACAGAAAGGTATGTTTGGGAGAATCCCGGAGGTTCTTGTGTAGGTTGTTGTTCTCCTCTCCCCCGCTACTTTTCTTGTTCAGTAGTATAGTTGAAACTGAAAGGTGCTCTCAACAGACTTCTTTCTCCAAAAGTGTACCTGCTAAGATGTAATGCTCTTTTTGTTTCGCCTCTGTTCAAAGCTGTGTAGTACTCTTATAGGAAGCACAACAGTAAAAATAATGTTGGCCACTTTTCTGACTTTGTTTGTGTCTTTGGAGAAAAATAGCCACAAGAACAAGCAAGTCAAAGTTATGATATCTCAGTGGCCAAACGAAATAATAATACAGCGTTCTTGACACTGCTGAGAATAATATTCTACTACAAAATACCAGTGATAGCTAGACAGAAATGAAGGTGCCTCTGCTCTGTATTTGAAATGAGACCGGAGTATGTATATATCTTTGACACTGATAGCACTGTGTATAATTTGTGGCAAAAGAGGCAGCATCTACTAAATCAAAATCAACAGCCTTGAATAACTTTTACCCAGAACTTCTTAAAGAAGCTCAATAAAGACAGCACTGTGACCCATCGGTTACTATTCGTTAATCTTGGAAAATGGAAGATGTTTCAAATGATTGGAGAACTGCCAATAAAAGGCTGAACAAGGAACTGCAGATCAAGTGTGATGCCAGTGAAATAACAGAGTTGCTAATTTGTAGTTCTGTTAGCATAGAGTAAGTGGTAAAAGGTGTAATTAGTGCCAGTCAGTATGGTTTTATGGTAGCTAGTTCTTCTCAGACGGTAGGTTTCAGACTTCTGCGTTATTTGGAATTGATACAGCATACTTTATGTGGGTAAAAATAAGCTCACTGACATGTGAACGTTTATTGATGCTGCTTTCCACAGGCAAGGGAAAAGTCTGTAGAAGAGTATCCTAGGGATGATTTTTGGTTAAACGCTATAATTTTGTCAACTATGTAGTTGATGATAAAATAATTGGTAGAGCTTGAAGTTGATAAAATAATCGTTAAGGGCATTAAAAGCATTGAATAATGAAAAGGCAGAGTTAGTAAGAGTAGTTTAAATGGTCACTATCTAACAAAGTACATCTAGCAAAACACAGGCAACTATGGATTGTACATCTAGATGAGAGATCTAAAGAAAAGAAACACTGACTTGGAATGCTTTAGAAGAATCATGGATCAAAGTCTCAACATAAGTGCTCAGTACAGTGCTGTAGAAAAAAGACCGTTACTAATCTGTACCTATGTAAAAAGGACAGTATCAGCATAGAAGTAGAGATATGATCTTGCTTTTGTGTGGGCTTGGTAAGGCTGCTGTTAGAATACGGTGTCCAGTTCTCTTCATATTTCAGAAGATGTGGAAATACTAGACAGTTCAAAACAAGCCACAAAAATGATCAGTGTTTTGGAAAAACAAGTTAATGAAATGTGGTTTAAGTTGAATATGCCCAGCTCCTTACTGAAGAGAACATGGAGAGGTGACTTGCTCATTCCGAATAGCTACTTAGACATGGAAAAGGTATGTGGTGGTGGGGACTCTTGGACATTGCTGACAAGGTCATAACTAGATCCAGTGACTGGTTGTTTAAGTGAAGTAAGTTATGTTCTGAAGTAAGTTGCCTCTGAAACACTGTTGGGGTTGTTTTGGTGTTTTAAACAAAGAGGATTTTTTTAAACCCTCTTTTGAGGAATTTTTTATTCCTCTTTGAGAAAAGGATGGATGTGGGACAGGTAGGTCACTGCAGTCTTTCTGGCCTTTAAATTTATCTCTCCATACTTTTCTTCTTCTTCTTTCATGGACTTAGGGTGAAAAAGAAAAAGCTTTTATTGTCCTTAATAGGTTCGTGACACTTGCAGCTTGTCATTAAAATGTTTTTAACAAAATCTTATGCTTCAGGATTTCAGCTAACTGCCCGTAAGGGTAATCAGATTTTTTTTTTTTCCTCCATCTGATACATATCATGTATGTTAGATACAGTCTGTGGATTTTTTTCCTTCCATTTTCTCGATCTGAAGTACTTGTGATAAACCACAGTTGGAGACAGGGCTCTGACTGTTGGACAAACGCTATTAAGTGTTATCAAGAGATGTACTTGATAAATGGCTGCCTAGCATTTCTTGTTCTGAAGCTCTGGGTTATAGTGAGCTCCAAAGTTGATCAGAAAGGAAACTTTCAAAGGTAAAAATTTCATAGATTTCTGGATTTGTCAGTTTTTTCTATAAGAAATTCTAAATTTTGAGGAAAATATCTAGACTAGACGTAATGGTTAGCCTGCCACCACACCCCGCAAACATTAGACAGTGGTGTCAACTTTACCTCCTACAGCATATGCATGTGTTATACCAAAACTGCAAACACTTGTCATACCGAAAAACTCATTTCTCTTTATGATCCCGTTTGCTAGTTAAAGTGATTGGCCTGATGAAACAAGTTGCCAACAAGCTTTGAGAAACAGCTTTCTGGAGGAGGCTATGGTACTGTGCTACATGGGAGAGTAAGGAATAAGTTACTTGGGGTCCTCTTGGAGGATCAGAGCTTGTCACTACAACCACCCCATCTTTCATGATGTGGCCCGAAATGCTTCTTTTCTGACTGCTATTATGGATATAAGGTGCATTATCAGAGCAGGCAATCATTACTTCCAGTGCTTGCATGCTGTAGTCTAATTGTTTGATCCTTTCTGTGTAAATTGGCACCTCCAAATGGTTTTCTTCTAATTACCTGTAAATTATAAATTTTCACTTCCCTATACTTCTAAAGATTCAACTTCAGCAGTACAAAAGCTACAGGTATAAATAAATACCTCACTTCCCTCTTCTCCCCGTGGGTAAGATTCTGTTAGTTTTTTTATTAATTGCAAATCACTTTTTTTCAACTCTGTAAGCTATTGCTGAGTTATAAACAATGAAAATAGTACTGGCCTACATTTTAAATATAGATTAAATAATGGAATACACTTATGTTCACTCTGGAGGCATTCTCTGCTGGGCTTACAGATTTACCATATAAAGAAGCAAATATTGAACTAAACTAGGATTTCTATAGCAGAAACACTTTTTGACATAACATTTTTTGGAATAAAAACACATATGTAGGACTAAAGTGCTGTTCTGGTTTTTGTGCTGATCCTCTTAGGACTGTATAACAACATGGGGAGCCTAGAAACAAGCTTTCCTCAGGCAGGCATAAGGTACACTGAATCAGGAAGAAGGCAATTGGCAGAAAACAGTGAAACAAAATACTCACCTTGTTATTTCTGAGTGATGGATGTGAGGGGGTAGAGGGTTAAAAGCTGTAGTCTGTCCTGGAAGAAAGTTCTCCCTGTTTAGATTTCTTTTAGCAGACTGAAATGTTAGTCGATCCAGCTTGGGGGGAAT